ATGGGAGTAAGTTCCATTTGATATGGCAGCTGTCAGGTCAGTTTGATACAGTTCTCTAGAGAAAGTCTTGACCTCAAGCCTCTGACTAGAACCAGACTGTGATGATTTCATCTTCAACTAGAGGATAGCATCCATAACAACAGAATTTTTTCACCTCCACTGGCAAAGTAGAGCAGGTTTGATGTACACAACAAGGCAGTCATGCCTTACTGTTAGGACTGCAGATATTAAACCTTATTTTATTACTTCTTTGTGAATTTCATTGTGTGCATTTTATGAATTTATATCCAGTTTTATTCCTAAATTAACTGAACTGGTCATGTTCTTGCTGGATCTGAAGATACCCTCAGGCTTTCAAGAGGGAGGTCTGCAGGCCTGTTAATTTACTATTAAGAGCTCACACGCATTTGACTGTTCTCTTTTCTCTAAGCAGCTACAATAATCTTTTTAAGAACTATTGGACAATGAATAATTATACACTTAAACTTTCCAGACCTCTAGATAAAGATGTTACATGCTGCTTACTTTGAAAGAAATCCCTTCTGTGCAGTTCTAATTGATTCTTTAGACAACTGTTCTATTTATAAGGCACGGTCCTGAAAGAAGATCATTTTCAACTATTGAAAATGCTTATTGTTTCTCTGACACTTGGGCACACGTATAACACCATAATTTGTTTCTCAGAGGTGATACTGGTATTGAAAAAAGTAGTTCTTCCTTGAAATTCCAAAGCAAATACCATCCACACTGAAGCTCCTCACTGCTCAGAGAATAAATAAATGAATCACATGAAATAAAAGAAACATAAACAGCAATTTGCCAGAAGATACTAGCATTATCAAGTCAGGATGAACTCCTCCTCCTCCCATCTCAGGAAGACAATTTTCAGAACTTTATAAGATTTATAATAATGTGGATTCTCTCTCTCCCTCTTCCCCTGTGTGTGTGTGTGTGAGTATGTGTGTGTGAGTGTGTGTGTGTGTGTGTGAGAGAGAGAGAGAGGCATCAAGTTGAGCTTAGTAGATGATTAGCTACCATATCAAAATACGACACTAGCTTCCTTAGTCCCTTCCTCAACCCTTTCCCCACTTTGTTTAAGATAACCAGGTAAAAACTTCTGAAGAAATATAGCCCATACTCATAGCTTAGGACAAACAAAGATGAAATGTCATCCTATTATGAATTTTATACACCAGGCTAAGTATAAGGGTCAACAAGTAAGATCTGGTGGGTAGCAAGCCTACTTCAGACTGGGAGTGTGAAAGTAAACCCTTGGTGGATTTAGAAGTTTGGAGTTTAGAGGCCCTTTTTGTGGTTGTTTTGTAGAACAAGGATTCTATTGTCCTAGTTAGCTTTTTACTATTCCTCTCTCTCTTTTCCTTCCTCTCTTCCTCCCTCCCCCTCTCTTTGTGGGTGTGTGTGTATTTGAGTGTATGTACGAATGCATGTGCACATGTAAACATGCATGCATGTAGAAAACAGAGGTCAACCTTAGATGTAGTTATTCCACTGTCATCCTTTTCTGCTTAGACAAAGAGTTTCTTACCAGACTGAAGCCTATGAAGTAGACTAGGATTGATGGCCAGTGAGCCACAGGGATCCACTTGTCTCTACTTCCCAAACACTGGGATTGCAAACATATAACACTAGATCTACAGATAGGTTCTGGTAATCAAACTTAGGTCCTCTTGTTTGCACGGCAAACAGCTTACTGACTCAGCTATTTCCCCAGACCCCAATCCAAATCAGTCTCTAATAAGAAAATGCAATACTCTTCCTCGAATAAAATTCCAATTTAGCTGTCTGAACTGACACAGAAGATTCACCTTGGTCACGTGATTGAAGGAATTTGTGCCAGGGAAAATCAAATTCTGTGCCTGTTTTTCATGATCACAACAACAGGTTCAAAGGAAGCCACATGGCACAAGAAACCCAATGTGGATTTTCTGCAATATTTTTTTTGCACTTTCTCTTTCTTTATAGATGTCCTGTGGTATTGGTATGGGGGTCTGATGTGGTGAAAATTCTTGTTCTTCATAGTATGAAGAAGGACTAAATATTATTACTATTCTGATATGAAGTTAAGAAAGAAAAAGAGTGAGGGAGAATCCACCTGTAAATGGGCTGTTGGTGCTTAACTCTCTTCCCTTTAAGTCATTCAATTTCATGACTTAAATTTCATATAATTTTCTCTTACATTTGTTTCTAAGATGGAAAATTCTGAAGTTACATTGTATGGTGACTACAGAGAGTGACTAGAGTTTCAGCCATTTACCTTCAAGTTTCATGGTTTGTGTTTGTCTTTATAGTTGAGTCATAGTCATCAATATGTATGCACCACATTTTTCTTTGTTATCCTTTCATTAATTGATGGACATATTGGTTGATTCCATTTGCTAGCTATTGTGAATGGAGCTGCAATAAACATGATTGTAAAGTATCTTTGTTGTAAGATATAAAGTCCTTTGTCCTCCAAACAGTCCTATTTCTAACTTTTGGAGAAACATGACTAATTTCCAAATTGCCGTCACTAGTTCACACTCCCACACAGTGTCTAAGAGTTTCACTTTCTTCACAACCACACCAGCATTTACTGTCATTTGTATTCCTGGTGATGGCTATTCTGGCTGGAGTGAGTTGGAACCTAAAGCTGTTTTTCTCTGCATTTACATGATCAGCTAAGCATGTTGACCACATTATGGTCATTTGTCTTTCTTCTTTTGAGAGCTTTCTCTTCAGTCCTCTAACCAAGTCTTTTAAATTGTTTGTTTCCCTTGATGTTTAGCTTTCCAGGAATTTTTAATTTGATATGAACCCTATTAGATGTATAGCTAGCAAATGTTTTATCCTATTCTGTCGACTGCCTCTTCATTCGATACACAGTTTCCATTGCTGTGAAGAAGTCTCTAAGTTTTATGAGATCCCATTTGTTAGTTATTGAATCTATTATTTCCTGATTAGATTTATTCTAGGGGTGTGTGCATATGTGTGTGTACTGTGAGTAGGATTGGTTATATGTTTTCTTTTTCATAATGTCTGCCATTGATATATAGGAAGGCTTCTGATTTGTGTGTTAACTTTGTATCACAACTGTAGCATGAAATTGCTTTTCAAAGCATGGTTAAGGCTCATGATACTATTTTATGTCACAACAGATAGGTCTAATTTATCTAAGTTTATAATATTTAAGTATATATTTCATAATCATATCTGACACATATAATCCTTTAGAGAACACTCATTTTTTGTATTATTTCTTAACAGTATCACCAATTATTTTTCATATTTTACCATCCTTAGTTATCTTAATGACCATTAATTAATGAATTGAGGATAATTTTGTGTTCTTGTTCCTTCAAATTTGTTTAATCCATGATACTCAGATTTTAAGAAATACTTACATTTCATTATTATTCCATAGTGCATACATTGCTTTGTTCAGAGTTCTTACAAGTTTGAATCTTAATTTTAAAAAGTACACTTTCATATTTTTCATTAAAAATAATACTTCTCTATATTGATTGATAATAAGAGACAAATTGCAGTTCTCTGATACAGAGTCAAGTGCATGTGCATAAACATGGATTCAGTATGCTCTACGGAGCTCCTGTTGCTTGGTTCTTGAAGCAAGTTTCAATAATAAATTCCAGAGACCCGTGAGCTAATAGATAGCATAAGTTAGTGCATTGTGGCAATATAAAAAGAAAGAAGAAAAATACTTTTAATTCTACAAGGACCACTTTTCCTTCAGGCAATCTAATCAATATTTTCAAGGTAATACATGAGAATTTATAATATCAGTTAGCAGAACTCAAGGAATTGCATCACATAAATTGGATAAAGAACAGCTAAGCAATATAAATTAGTTTGTTTAATCCTATTCTAGACTTATACCTAAAAATACAAAATGTATTCAACTGATTATCTGACAAGTGAAGGTCACTGGCTTCTGTGGATAGTCCTGTACACTATGAAGATGTGTTGCTCTAATTGATTTGATAAAGAGTTAAATGGACAGTAGCTACACAGGAAAAGGTTAGACAAGACTTGAGGACCAGGAAGAGAGCTCTCAGGGATGAAGGAGGACAGAAAAAATAAAATAAATTGTATAAGGTAGATTAAAGAGAAATTTCTATCAATAAATCCTACTATTTGTTACCCTTTTTCAGCAATCAATTTTAAATTTTATAGAAAAAATATGTTTATTGTTCAAAATAAAAATTAAGAAGACTATTATTTATGAATAAAAAATTGCTCCAGATGGTAACAAATTTTGGTTGATCAATTGATTAACTAAAATACAGTGGAAAATTATTCTGTTTTAGACACATAGAGGTTTGTAACAATCTGAACATTATGGACCAAAAAGTCTACATGGACAGTAAAGCATTTTGATAATCATGGTCTTTTTTAAAGTGTGATGGTTAATATTTTAGACATCAAAAATAGGTTGTTTCATTTGTTTGTTACATTTATTTCTAACAACATCATTTCATCCTTTCCTTATTACAAACGTATTGAAGATACAACAGGTCAAAATTATTTTATCCCCCCCCAAGATCAACAATTTATTTAGTGATAATACATTATAAATAATGATTCCAAAGATGCATATAATAAAGAAAATTAACATTTTTCAAGTATGAAAATATTTCTGAAATAAAGATTACTATAATAAATAAATACTTGAGTAGTTAAGGCTTAATTTAAGTCACTGTTTTTTGGCTAATTATACTTACAGGATGGTACTGATCATATCTTAGCAACAAACTAGTTTAAGAATTCAAAGCTTACTGCAATGTGTTTATTATTGTGTGTTTTTGAAGGTAGAAAAGCCATGTGTAGCAGGGCTGTGTGCTTTATTGTGGTTTCAGTAAACCTTTTGATCAGAGCAGCAGGTGTCCTAAGGCTCACCTGGAACTGGAGAATGCCTTTACATGGCTAAAGTTATTGGCAGGACACAGAAAATCTAATTTCAGACTTACTATTGTGGCTTCTGGCTGGTCTCAGATGAACCACTTCCAGGCCCAGTCAGATGGCCTCTCCACCGAGCTTTCCTGGCAGCTGCCATCCCCCAGGGATGAGAAATCCAAAGAAAATTAGAGAGAGATGTAACTAGATGCTCTAGACTTTGTATAGCCTGCTCTTGAAAGTGACACCCTATTATTTCCAGCTCATTATATTAATGAGCGAGAAATTAAATATTGCAGCCCATAAATTCAGAAAGAGTAGATTTGAGGACACAAGGTGGTGTTTCTTGATTACTACATCTCAGTATGCACACGCGTCAACCCTTGTTCAGTTCCTGTATCTTCTATGGAAGGAAAGCATCTCTTCCAACGGTGCTAACAAGATATAACTTCTGAGACTGACCCTAGAACTCCTTTTACTTACAGAAATCCACACTGAGAGTCTGAATCTGAATCACACTATTTGTTGAGCTTCACCACTTCAGGTTCAACCCCGGTCATCTACCTAGGAACATCACTCATTGACTGTGATTATTTACAGCCCACCCCAAAGTCTTGATCCAACAGCCACTTCCATAAACAGCAATAGCTAGCAATAACTATCCTGTAGCCTGTGATGTCAGCACTACTTCCCAAGGGGTAATTCCTCAGAAGTCACTTAATCAGTCTTTGCCTCCTCCTCTAACAGCTGCTCTCAGATTCTCTTTAGCTGGCTCCTGGGACACAAGGGAGTAATAAGCATCCGGTCAATTGAAAGAGCATTATTTAAAAACACCTTAAGAGCTACAAAGTGCTCTAGATCTGTAGAGACCTTTAGATGTGCTTTTCCTTTTGAAAGGTTTTATAGATCCCACTAGAGTAGGGCATCCTGAGTGATAGGAGGTCACTGAAAAGGAAACCACAGTTTTACAGATTCCCAACCAGCCACAGAAAATATATAACAGTTAGTGTTTACTTTGACGACCACTGTTATTTTAAAAAGCAGTAACATCCTTCATTTTCATCTCAGTGTGGTCAATGGGATAAGAATAAAATGAAAAATAAGCCTATGTGTGAGGTAGGGATCTTAGTATGGCTAAAACATGATTAAATTAGATAAAAAATAGCAATATTATTTCTTACATGTATTTTTATTAGCAATTTCTAGGCAAGCAAATACTGAAATCTAGATGTTACTAATTTGTAATTCATATTCATCAAGTTGTATAATAGTCCTTAACATAAAGATGATGATTTCTAGGTATTTATATTATTATGAATATCTGCTTAGATAAATGCATCATTTTTATAAAATGATTATGTTTCATAGGATCCAGAATGACAATAATGTTTTTAACTTTGTTATTTTATATAACTGGCAGGTAGTCATTTCAGTAAAATTGCATGGATAGTGAATTATTTGCCAAACAAAACATTTTTAGCTTCAACGTCTTGAATGCTTTCTCTTAGGGAAATTAGTCTGTCAGTGTGGCTTCTGAATTCCAATAAGTCTTATCTTGACTCAAGGACATTGCTTGTTGGCACATTGCTTTTTCTTTCTCTCTATCAAATATTTCCAATCCATTTTCAAACAAGACAGTATTTTATTGTAAAAGTAAATAATGCCTTTGAAACTGATGTCTCATTTTTTCTTTCATTTTTCAACTGGATTTCACTCAGTTAGCTACTTTGACTTTTCAGCATATACCACACTCTACTTGCTTTTCCTTTTCTACATAGACTCTTTCAGCTCTTTTCTCAGTTGCTTCTTAATTTGTTGACATTGAAAATGTGAAATCCCCAGCAATCTTTGCAAGACAGCTTTTAGTTTTTGGCTTGACTACATATTTGGTAACCTCACCTAGGCTCATAACCTTAAATAAACCAACAGCATCCAGACTTGGATATTCGTATTTCTAATACCTATGATGACAGTAAGATTAGGCATTAAGTTAATGAACTATGGAAATCCAAAGGAACTGCAGCGCAGCCTGGCAAAGACTCAGCCCTATTCTAATGTAAACTTTTGCACTGCTGGAAATGACCCATTAATTTAGAATAAAAATCACCTTCGCTGTCTTTACCAGTGGGAAAAATATCCTCCTTATTTAGGATTTGTCTTCTTTTTGCATTTAATAGCTTATTAGCTTAATCATAGATTCATTATTAAATATATTTTTCAGATTTCCATTGTTTGAGTACTGAACACATAATATTAAGCATTTCATACCTATCTAAAGAATGAATGAATGAAAACATCTTTAGTAATATCCATATCACCATTACTTTACATCTTTGATTTCTTGTTCATTTCTTATAATCTAGCTGGTAGTATATGAACACATATTACCATTTATTTTATTCTCACCTTTATTTATGTATCATTACCAATAGAAATTTCAAATGCTTAGGGTACATATTTTGATCATTTCATATAATAATACATGAGTACATGCTTACCTTGTTAGGCTAATTTTCATATTTGTCACCACACATAATTAACACTCTCTTTGGTGTATGGTGAAAATACTTAAGATCTACTCTGTTAGAATCTTAAATATGTATTGAGTACAGTCATTATGCCTGTCTAGATTTTACCAACTGTGTAATTTGTTCATCCAAGAGATCCCCAAAACAATATTAGCAGTTCCTCTTTCCTCTGGTTACCTCCTAGATGGAGAAGATAAGGTCTCTGTTGCTGAAGACACCAGGTACTTCAGACACAGGGTTCATTTCTTTTTCTTAAGCAGCAGTGATATTCTGATGAAATACTACTCTTAGTAATGTAAAATGTATTAAAAAGTCAAAACAGAATATCAAAATTTAAGAAAAAATAATTTTACTTTGATGTTGGTGTTCTCAATGTTTTTGGTATGTTTTGTTGGCAATGACTATGAATATAGTTGACTTTGCATCCTGCTAATTTCATGAATCTGCTAGCTCTTACAGGCATTTTGGTAGAGACACTTATGATATATGTTTTTGGATTTAGACTTCATCTATGTCATGTTTGTTCGTCATATCTTCTTTTCCCTACAGAAGTATACTTTACATAGTAATTATCAAAAAATCAAGCTGTATTGCTACATACTACCCTAAAACAGCTTTAAACCGAAACGATTTGCAACATTAAGCACTTGTTTTACTCATGCTTCTACAATTGAATAAGATAAATTATTAAGCATATGGGATAATCAGTTAATTCAATTTGGGCTTCATTGAGGCCTTTATAGTCAAAGTCCAATTTGAAATGTCTCTCATCATCCTTGGATTCATGGTTGTCTGGCAGCTGCTCTTTCAACTGCCCTCAGGACCTACCCTTTCACTAACTTGTAAGTAATCAACAATTCGTTCAGGTCTTTCTGACATTTTAATTTACTCTCCTATACTAATGCGAAGAACAAGAGAGCAGTCTGGAATAAGCAGTGTTCTTAGTTCCTAGCCCTATCTGGAAAACCATAGTCTTTACCAACTATCAGTTTTCTGTTTAAGCTGAAAGCCAAGACATAATGATTGCTGGTCACTAGTTAGAAGAACTGGATAGTTGCATAGTAACACATACAAGAACAGAGCCTAAGTTATGACAAAACTGCCATCAGTGATAACAGTTAAAGGATTGGGGTGAATGGTTGTGGGTAAAGCACTTCTTATGGAAATATAAAGACTGGAGTTTAGGTCGTAAGAACCCATTTAAAACCTTGGCACATGAGTACATATCTGTAGCTTCAGAGCTAGAATCAGAGACAGACAGAACACTTCAGATCTCTGGCTAGCCAGCCTAGTCAATTAGAAAGGTCCTCACTCAGCAAGAGACCCCATCTCAAGAAGATCTGATGAGAGCAATATACATAAGGCAGCATTTGACACCAACTTCTGATCTCCATGTGCACATCCATGGGTACCCATTTACACATAGGTGTACGTGCACCCACATAAGTATATGTGTGTGGGTATGCACACTTATCCAAGCATACTCTCTCCATTTCTCTATCTCTGTCTTTGTCTTCTTCCTGTCACACACACACACACACACACACACACACACACACACACCAGACACACATTACATTGGATTAAACTATCCAGTGATAATACTTCCATGAATTTCCAATGCAGCATGAATCTTCCAGGGTTTCCAGGATTCCCATAGCCTCCATAGTAAATTTCAGAGGATCAGCTATGAGTTTAGCACTGTTGTAAATTCTGACAATAAAATACACAAATGAGATAAAATCCTATGAAACAGAGAAGCGATTACTCATTTTATGAGAGATGGATGACTCGATTAAGTTTACCTACATGGTAAATAGGCACATTTGAAATAAAAATATATGTGTCTATATTATAGCTAAACTGTATAATATTTCTTACTTCTCCTGCTGTCCTGGCCAAACTGCAATATCATCTAAAGTCTAAAATTGCAATATAAGCCAAGATGGAGTTGATGTACACTAATATCATTTTCTAAACAGGTGTAACTTAACTGGTTATTCCGGGCAGGCACTTGGGTTTAGTGTTTGTGGCTAACAGCTAAGGAGATCCTTCTTCCCACTGCCTCGCTTTCAGAGAGTGAGCTTATGCCCATTGCAGCACATAACACTTTATACTCCAAAGGAGGAGTCATTGAGAAGAATCATTGATAGGACCTGAGAACACATCTTGAAACTCCGTTATTAAAATAAAACTGCCCTTGTCTTTTGTAATTTCTTGCGGGGTTTCTCACTGCCATCTCCCAACAAGTTGTTCCTCGCAGGAACATATTGATTTAATCGGAGCTTTTGGTTGTGTCTGGGAAGCACCATGAATAACAATAAGGTTTCTATACGGAATATGGCTTCATTTTAAGAGTAAGTGCTGATACAAGACGGCAGATTCAACTGCCTGGCTGATGAATGCACTCCCTCTTGAAAGAGCTAATGCTATCCTGGGACCTAAGTGGCTTTTCATATTGCTTGTCAATTTTTTTTGCCTATTTTTTTTAATCTTGATATGTATTATGTCAGATGTTTGAGGAACATCTTAAGATCAAGTCAGCAATTTGATTATTGGGGTTGGAGTGTGGGTGACATGTAAACAAATGCTACTTCAGCCGAGCATTTCCTATCATGGAGATTT